GTTAAAGTTAATATTGTCTGTCTTACTGCAGCTTTCCAAAAGGTACAGTTAGTCCTCAAAACACGTTTCTGATTTGGGTGAACAGATCAATTTCCCCAGTACGTCCCTTAAAGTCTAAATTAGAATCAGTTACTACCTTTCAGTTGCTACTGTGGCCAATAGCAGGCACTTTGGTCTTTAATTATTTGGAATTAAGAACTTGGAATTAAAGTCAGTTACCACCGGTCCTTCACTGACATACCCTATGACAGACTGTGTGTAGGTACCAGGCGGTCTAGAGATCAAAGGCATGGGGGCAGACGCAGGACTGCCTGGGTTGAATCTTGGCTCTGTATTTCATTAGCTCTGTGGTGTTGGTGAGTGCCTCAGTTTTCCCACTGGTAAAATGGGAAGAAGAATAATGGCCCCTAACCGCCTCACAAGGCTGCTATGAATATCTGATGAGTTAACATTTGTAAAGCAGGTAGCAGTGGCCTGGCCCATTGTTAATGCTATGTGAATGCTGTCACCAAAAACGACAAGTGATTCCAAAATGTAGAGCTAAGGCATTCTTTCAGCACATTGATGGCATGTCTTCTTCCTTTTCATTTCCAGGCCTCTATGTGGGTGAATTTTGAAAAAACTTTCATGTAACACCTGCCTCCAATAAGTAGGAAGAAGTAGCACTAAAAATATAGTTGAAGGGTCTGAGGACAGACAACTTGGGTTTAAATCTCAGTTTCTCGTTTTATTAATTCTGTGATATTAGGAGCCTCAGTTTTCCTGTCTGTAAAATGGGCAAAAGGATAGTACCTATCTCATGAGATCATTACGGAAGTTAAATGAACTAACGCACATAGAGCACCCAGTACAGTATCAACCACATAACAACTACTATTATTTGCAACCTTGGATTGATGCCTCCTAAGGAGAGGAACCTGGACATTGGGAGGGCAAAATTGTACAGTGGAAAGAAGCCTGGGCTTGAAACGAGAGAGGACTTGTAGTGAGTCCCACGTTCACCATCTATGCACCATACGGTATTAAACAAGTCATTACACCTCTCTCTGAGTCTCCATGGAGACAGAGGCCCGGATGAGCCAACGACTACGGATGGTGAGCACGTGCAGGGAAGCCCAGTTCCCAGTGTCAGGCACCGGGCTACGCTGACTAGAACCCAGCCGCAGTCGAGGCCCACCTGGCTCTGCTCCCTATTTCCCACAACAGTGTGAACTGCCAGGGAACTCCATTCTCATCGGGCAGGGAGGTTGGCCAAGAGAAGTGGTGCTGGTTGTTGTTTTAATCCTTCAAGTTCTGGCTCTCTGGTAAACAAAAAAAACATAACAACAACAACAAAAACATGGCTAAAGTATAGAGGTTTTACTGGCCTTTAGGGGAAAACAGGGCTTCCCTTGACCTATGAGGAATGAATGAGCTTCTAGTCATCCCTGAGACACAGAAGCCCATCCCATACTCACTTTCCACCTGGTACATTCAGTTTGGATTTCAAGTTCGTTACAGGGAGCCTGGTAAAACAAACAAAAGTTACATTTATTTCTACTATCACATTTAAAATTTTTTCCATTGTGGAAAAATACTATTATGTACAAAATAGAAAGACTTGAGTAACACATTCCCTTGTACTTAGTACCCATCACTTACAGTTAACTCCTACCCGCTCCATATCCCACCCACTTCTTGACCACCCCCGGATTATTTTGAAGCAAATCTCCTGTATCATATATTTCACCCATAAATATTCCAGAGTCCATCTCTAAAAGACAAAGCAGCTTTTATAACATATATTCACAGTACCATTTCACACCCCCAAATATTAACATCTCCTTAATATCGTCAAATAACCAGTGTTGAAATACTCCCAACTGTCGTATGATTTTTCTTAATAATTTGGCCAAATAAGGATCCAAATAAAGTCCATACACTAAGTGGTTTGTATGTACCTTATATATATAAATCTATAGGATTCCTTCTCCTTCTCTTTCATTTTCTTGCAATTATTTGCTGAAGAAACTGGGCCATTTGTCCTGAAGAGTTTTTCAGAGTCTCAGTCTTGTGGATTGCATCCATGTGACATAAGTATGTTCCAACTCTAAACTAGAAGCATATTCTTGACCTCGGAAGTGGATCCGATGGGCTGCAGTGCCAAGGTTGCCTCACACACTGTTATGGGATGGACCAAGGAACTCATCTTGGGTTTGTGCCCCGACTCTGGGAGCTGTGGCCAAAATAACTGGGCCAAAGTAAAAGATGGCCCCTGTTCTCCACCGACTCCATCCCTCACTGGTTTTTTTTCTGTGACAGTGAGAGTGGAAGCAAATGAGGGTCTACCTGGATGGAAAAGAACACTGTCTCCTTTGCTACCTATTGCTGAACAAAAAAAAAAAAAAAAAAAAAAGAGAGAGAGAGAAGAAAAAAGAAGAGAAAAGAAAAGAGAAGACAAGAAAAGAAAGACAGCTTCTACCTTTAAGAAGAACAAGATGAATAATTCTGGTTAAAAGGCAGCTAAAAGTCTTTCTGTTCTTTCCTCTCTACTATGGGCATCCTCTTCCCTTGCAAATGTATGCCCTTGAGACAGAAGTCAGTCCCAGGCAGGGAGGGGGGCTTCCGATCAGCTCTAGGGAGCAGAGGGGCTGGATTCTTAGGGCCACAAGATCACTTCATTGAGCGCGTCTGCCACTTCCACTTGCACCATCACTGATTCTGAACATTGGCCTGGGCCACACTCTGGTCCATGACACACAAAATCTCATTGTGTAAAGTCCTTCCAAGAATTATTGAGTATCTTCCCTGTGCCAGAACTTGGGGCTGGAGAAGGACATGAATCTGAGATCACTGCCAGAGAAACAGAGTCTAGCAGAGACATGAAAACTGAATAACTGCACCTTGGTCCTGTGAGAACCAGGAAGGTATCACGTGCCAGGTAATCTGGGACCAGCTATGCCCAAGGGAGAAGCAAGCCACAAGGAGGAGATGCACAATCTAGACCTTCAAGGATGAAGAAGAGTTCAAGAGCCTGGCTAGAAGAATAAATAGCGGTAGTGATAAAAATATTAAGAACAGCTAACACGTCCTGGGTGAGCCCTTACTTCATCACACACATCTCTGAGGGCTTTACATGCACTCTCACATATAACCCAACCCTATGAAGGAGACGCAGCTGTTATTCCCATTTTACAGACAAGGAGACTGAGTCACGAGCATTTCAGTAACTTTTCTTACATATAGTAACAACTTCCTGTGTGTGACTTTAAAATGCACTCAGGTGCTTAAGGGTGGGGCACATTTCTGAATCACAATTAGTTCCAAATGTCAGTCTGGTTCACTGCCCTCTTCCTGGTGCCTAGAACAGTGCTTGGTACACAAAAGATACTTTGTTCCATGACGAGATCAACAACAGTTGGATCATTCAGCTTTACTTGCGCCTCCTGATCTGCTCTTCATCCTTCTCCAAGTGGCTCTCTGCTCAGGAGGTGGACCGTGTGACCTCATCCTTGACCTCACGTTTTCAGTGGGGACCAGCCAGTCAGAAGCCCTCAGGGTAAAGAGGACAGTGATGTCAGGGCATTTATTTCCCTGGCTCTCTCCCTAGGCCCCCACTGGCTGGTGGCATTCTTCAACAGAAGGTCACAGCCCCTCTCAAGATGGTCCTAATTTCTCCTTTTAGATTCTGATAACCACTCCCTCTCCTCAGGCCTTTAGGCTTGGGACAGTAAGAGCTATGGGTACCGCTCTGTCCTTTGTAATTTCTCTACATCTTACGCAGACCTTTGTAAATAGCTTCTTTATTAACCTCTTACAAATGATCTTGAGTTGAATATGCCATCTGTTTCCTGCTAGAACCTGGACTGATAGAGTGGTCAAGCCAGAGTAGGCTTCCGGAATCTTCTTTCTCCTAAACTCCAGCAGAGGCTCAGATTTATTCACATGATGGCTGTCAAAACCATAAATTTCCCCATCTTAGTTTATGCTAGATTCAGAAGGCTGGACTCAACCTTCAAAGGTCACGCAAGTCCATTTCCATGCCTCGGGCAAGGAATCCAGCCCCCACCGCCATCCCCGACTGCTCCTGTCAGAGGGAAGTATATCTTACTTTGAAGAGCTCCAGGTAAGGAGCCAACATAACTCACTCCAGTGTCTTCATACTCCCTGCCTGATAAATCTCCCTCCTGTCTAACACGAACCCTTCCCGTTAACAGGTGAAGCTCGCTTCCTGTGTCTGCTCCTCGCAAGAGATGCACAAAAGATCCTTCATTCTTTGAAAATAGGCATTAAATCATCTTTACCTCCTTTCTCTAGTTCTGAAGCGCAGATCAATGAAAGCAGATCATCTGCCCACGCTGGCCCCACGTCGTTGTGGGGGAACCCACGCTGCAGTGAGCACTTACAGTCGTGAGCTCTAGAAGGGTGGCTGAGGGTGGGAGGGGAAGACGGAGCCCAAACCTCCCCTGGAGGACGGCTGCCTGGGTTCCTGCCAGGAGCCCTGGGAAATTCTTCGTCCACTTTGACTTATAGATCTCCTTGGCCATCTGTCCTCTGTCTGCTGTCCTCACCCTGAATTCCTTAGGGGGCTGGTTTGCTGGTGGTCACCAGCCCTGACTAAAGCCGCTGCTCTGGAGACAGCTCTGGAGACACCTCTGCTTCTTCCCCTCAGACTCCACCTGACAGGGCTCACGCTGGGCTTGAACCCAGCCAGCCAGGCACCAGGAACAGCAGTGCACCCGGGATCTGACAGCCCTCGAAGCCCACGGACCACTGATTTCAGATAAATTGTCTTCCAAATTTTCTTTCTTTTAAAAAAAATTCTTATTTTATTTATGTATTGTTTTTGTTTGGGGGGAAGTAATTAGGTTTATTTATTTACTTATTTATTCTAACAGGGGTACTGGGGATTGAACCCAAGACCTGGTGCATGCTAAGAATGCACTCTATCACTGAGCTATACCCTCCCCCCCATCACATTTTCTTTCAAAGTTTCAAAAGTTTTCAAAATTTTCCTCCCCGAAACCTCACTTGAAAAATCCCAATTTCTCACTATGCCATATACCAGAAACGAACACAACATTGTAAAGAGAATATACTTCAATAAAAAATAAATAAATGAACATAAAAATCCCAATGCCATATTTTAGACCATTTACCTAGATCTTGAAAGTGTTCTCCGACCTGACACACTTTGCTAGCTCTCACTCCTAGCCTGGGAAACGCATTCACACAGGGCCTTTGCCTCATTCCCACAAAAGCACACGTGACTGATAAAAGGGGCCTTACTTACTGTTCCTATGTCAATTAGATGTCCAGCTGTGAAACTGCAGTCAGCACAAGAGTAGGTGCTTGGCTTGTGTCACTGGGTCATCCCGTTTAATCGCTAATCCTCCCCGTAACCCAGCAAGGCAGATGTTATTAATCCCACTTTAAAAAGTGAAGAAACTATAAGACACAGAAAGATGAAAAAGTCACCCAGCTTTAAGTATGAACCACAAGGGTTCACATCTGATCCCTAAGAGGGGTGTGAAATCTATTCAGACAAAGAGAAATGCTAGCAACTAACACTACGGGATATTTATACCCAAAAGGTGCTCCTAATTAGGATTTGTACGTGCCTTATAACCCTTAAGTTCTTTCAAAATAATCAAAGAGAGATCTGAATTGTTTTGGCACCACTTGAGTGTGCTAAATTTTTAAAACAGTTCTTGTCCTTTGAAACTAAATGGTCAGTACCATGAGTTTATGGGGGGCTGAGTCGGGAGCATGGCTCACTCACATGTCACTCACGAGGACACACCAGCACATCTACCACACAGGGCGAGAGGAGTCCTGATCCTCCCAATGGATCAGTCCTTCAAAAGCTCCCTAGAAGTCAGGTCAGGGCAAACCCTCGACCACAGCACAGAAAGCTGGGTATTTGCCAACAGCAGGGCAAGAGGAAGTCAGAGAGCCACACTCCGGCCCGCTGCCCCTTGACTGACCTGAGCCTCATGGTCTCCTGGGATGGGAAATACACAGGACCTGGACTCAGGGTCCAGTCTGGAGCTGAGAGGTCATGCACTGATACCTGGCCCAGCATGCCTGGGTCTGCCTTTCTCCTCTGACACTTTTACATCCTGGTTCGCCTCACATCTCTGCGCCTCAGCAGTCCTCATTTGTAAAAGATGTGTGTGTGTGTGTGTGTGTGTCGGGTGGTTCTCACAGGGAGATAAAACTCCTTGTTACACAAAGGAAGGTCATATGAAGATTGACAATTGGATTTTAAGGGCTGAGAGAAATGGAGCAGAGACGGTGTGCCTGAGTCTGCCTCTGCCTGGGGGAAAGGTGCCACCAGGCTCCTCCGTCCCTCCCCCCACAGTCTAACAACCCAGCCTGCTGGGTCCAGAAAGCACAAGAAGTGTCCCCTGCCCTGTGGTACATCTGGCTCACTTCTACTAAGATATCCATTGGCCAAGCCCAGAGGTCCCTTCAGGAAGTACCTCCAGGCCAGCCTGGGCCTCAGGCTACTTGGCCAAGGCTTTGGAGCTGAGATGCACAGAGACCAGCCCCCTCCGCACCACAGGCAGCATCTCTCCCTCTGAAGGGCTCTGTGCAAGTGACCCCAGTGTCACAGAACATTCCCAACTCCCACCTGCTCAAGTTCTATCAAAAGGCCCCTTTAGCCTCCTCCACCTCCTCAGCTTCCTGCCTTATTGAGGCTGGATTCCCAATAAATTCGTTCGGTGGAGGGTTTTTTCCTGGGTGCCTAGCAAACGTTTCTTGACGTTGAAACATACAAAATGGTAATGTCTCTCTGAGGTAAGAGAATTCAGTACACGGAGGTTCTGCTAGCTTCTTGGGATGGGAGAAGCAAAATTAGCTTCCTTATTTCTAGATTATTATAATAATGAGAGCAAACCTCAAACTGGTGTCTCCATAAATTGGCCTGCATTCACGATGACCAAGTGCCAGCAATGTGCTAAGGGGTTCTTTTCCAACTATCTCCTCTGAACAAAAGGTAATAAAATAACCTGTGCTTAGATAAACAAGATTATACTGTATAGCACAGGGAAACATATACAAGATCTTATGGTAGCTCACAGAGAAAAAAAGTGACAATGGATATATATATATATATATATGTTTGTGTATAACTGAAAAATTGTGCTCTACACTGGAATTTGACACATTGTAAAATGATTATAAGTCAATAAAAAATGTTTAAAAAAAATAACTTGTGCTTTCATACAGAGATGCCAGAGAGAGACTAAGGACACATGCTCCATTCTGCTCCCTGGGGCCACTCGTTGTTTGTCACCCCCTCCCCCTCAAAAAGAGCTATCTGTAAATGAAGCTGGAAGTGAACTGGTTGCTATGAACCGAGCCCACGACCGAAGCCAAGCCCTGGCTCTTACACATCAAGCTCAGGGAGCACTGCTCTCCTTGGCCAGTGTCACGGATTTTCTGAAGAGACCAACTGTTTTCCTCCCTTGTCCAGGGAGGAAATGATACACGAGCTCTAGGAAAAGAAAGGCAAAAAGTTTTAGAAGAAAGAGAGGTGGCGCTGAGTGTTTGCCCACCTGGTGTCCCCGTTGGTTCAGAAAGATGGGGGGAGGGGAGGCAGAGAAATACACAGAAGCAAGTCCTGAGGGAGGTTGCGAGTGGCAACCCTGCGCTGCCCTGATGGAGACATGGGCTTTGGGAGCGTGGGTCTGTATGCCGTCCACAAAAGGCCACCTGGGGAAGCCAGGGATGCACAGCAGAGATGCCCATGAACGGGCTCACAGGAGTGAGAGAAGACAAGGCGCCCTCCTTGTAAATCCCTCATACAGGGCCTTAGCAGCAGCCAGAGATGCCCCCAGACAGAGCCGCCCTCAGGCATTGGCTGTGATGAGAGGAGAGGCCGAGGGGGCCGCAGCGTCTCTGGCAACGTAAGAACAAGATGCAGGAGAGACTGGAGTGTGTCCCCCCTTTACCCACTGCTGTCCAGCCGCGGCTGTCTCTGCCCCTTGCATTGAGCCAACTCCGGAGACAGGGAGGGGAGACACTGGAAATGATTTTGAGCTGGATGTGGGCCCGATCATTCTAAATTTGACAGGAATCACTGATTGGTCTGAATTTACCAAAACCATCTAGATTGAGTTGCCTGCCAAAGACAGCTTAGAAGCTGAGAATCACAAATGAAAGAGAGTTACCTTTTTTTTTTTTTTTACTCACCCAAATGAAGACTGTGAGATGGCAGGCCCTCTGCAGCTGTCAGTGACCGTCAGTCAAGGGTACCCTGGCCTGGAACACGGAGGCGGACTCCCTGCTTGGGGTGGGAGAAGAAAAAAATCTCATTGCTTTGACTTTTGTGTATCTGACCAAATTGTAAATGTAAAAATAATAAAGATAATGACAGCCGCTACCAAAATTGAGAGCCGCGTGCCAGCCACCTGCCACTGTTGTTTTCCTTAAACCAACGAAAATCCTGCCTGCATCACAACAGAGAAGTTGCTCCACATGACTGAGGTGGGAGGGAGGACCGGCCACCCAATCGTGCTTTCCCAGTAAGTCCTGTAGCCCAGGGGCCCTGTCAGCTAAGATGAGGAGGAAAAGGTCACGCCTGGAGACCAGGTGCGCGGAGGTGTAAGATTCCTGACTTGGGTACCGTCCCATCTCCTTACTCTGCTCTCCTGACCTCAGTGCTCTGGCTCCCAACTGAGGTAGACAGACCAAGGGCCAGGGCTTCGACGCGGCAAGTGAGGCAACTGCTAGCATGCAGAATTGAAGAAGGTGCCGAAACAACTCAGTAATCATGATAATATGTTAGTGCAAATATTTTTTTAGTAAAATATTAATGCAAAAATATTCAGGACAAACAAAATATCAACATTTTAAGTAAAGACAGGGTCACAATGACTGCTTTTTCTTTTTGTGTCAGGCTGCAGTATGGCTTGGCATTGACCCTAAAAAGAAGAAAGAAAACTGTCTTTATTCACAAGCCATATGGTTGCGAGGAGAATTCAAAGAATCTACAAGAAAACTTCCCTTCAACCTGTAAGTGAGACCAGCAGATGTGTCCGTCTGCTCAGGCTGCTATGACGTAATACCATGATTTCTCCCAGTTCTGGGGGCTGGTAAGTTAAAAATCAAGGTGCCAGCAAGGCAGGTTTCATTTTTGAGGCCTCTTTTCTTGGCTCCTAGGTGGCCACCTCCCCTCTGGGTACTCATGTGACTCCTTCTTTATGCGGGTTTAGAAGAAGGAGAGAGAGAAAGCAAATTCTCAGCTGCCTCTTCTCCTAAGGCACTAAGCCCGCCCTGAGGGGTCCTGAACCTCCCAGCACCCTGTGCGTTTCCTACCCACCTCCCATTAATATTGCCATTTTTCCATTTATGTATCTGTCTTTATCGCTAGACTCAGGGTCGGAAACACTTCCGGATCCTCAGTGCTGGGTAGAGAAAAGGTACTCCACAAACAAGCTGCTGAACTGTTGGCTGTGCCAAACTGCAGGAAGCCAAGGGAAGACTGTGGTCAGGCTACAGACACGATGGAAAAGCGGGTGAGCCTGGGGAAACAGGCAGGATGTGTTGGAAAAAGGAGAGATGGGCCTCTAAGGGGCCACCTGGGATGCCTCAGCAGAAGTAGAAATGTGGGGAACACATAGGAGCCTCCAGAGAAGAGGAGGTTGGGGCCGTCTGGGTCTAGACGGCCTCTTCCTTCCAGGCTCTGATTCTTTGGTTGATAGATTGGTTAGGAGAGACCCTGTACCTCCTACCACTCCGCCCTCCTGCCCTGGCCCCACGTGCCTATGGGGTTGTGATAGGAACAACCCACGTCTCAATGTAGGATCCAAATTCCCGCCTCTTCTGTTATCAGAGCTGCATCTGCAGGAGCGAGTCAGGGAGTCTTGGTGCTGAGACCATAAATCTGCTTTCAAATGCCCAGAGCCTCTTCTCCCTGGATCTGTGCAAGATACCCTAAAGTCCCTCCTTCCCGAGGAAGCAACCACCCGGCTAATGACAGAAGCATCCCCTCCGCAACCAAAGCCCTTGCCCTTGCCAGGCACTTGCTCCAAGAGCTGTTGCCTGACTCACTTTCCTTTGTGAATGGCATTTGGCAACATCGCCGGCTCCTGAGGAGCCCTCGGTCATGCACCTGGACACCTGGGGGTGGGGAGGGGGGCACGCTCCAGGCTCACAGTCCAGAGGGTGCTTCTTCACCTACCTACTTTTAATCCCCATGGAGGCCAAGGCACCACCAGAAACAGCCCCACACCTGACTCCTTTTGAAACTAAAAGGAGAATCGAGATCAGTGACTTACACATTCCTTTTAAATAACCTGAATATAGCTGGAGTAGGCAGAGTGGTAACATCACCTAAAAAGGAAGAAAGATGGATACAAAATAACCCTACAAAAATGATACTGCAGACTATCACAAGCAAACAGCCTCTGCATGGTAAAAAGAAAAATAAAAGAGGACTTGGAAGGAAATGATCAAGGTATCACACCATATCTTGCGTGCTAATTCTATTTTCCAAGTAAGCCTATCTTGCGTGCGTATGCCTCTTGTACACATATCTTGAAAAATAGCGATACACATTTTGTAAAGAAATCATATGGATTTATCTGTTACTCTGTTCTCTGATTTGGCAGACGGAGCTGGCACCTCTTACCCAAACAATTACAACAGCAACAAGCGACTCCTGCCCCACCAGCTCAGTGCCGTCTGTGCCAGGCATGGCGTGGGCTGGGTTGGTAACGTGGAGGTTATTTGTAACCCTGGTGGCAGCTGCCTCTTCAAGTGGCGGCAGTAGCCAGACTGCAGTGAGCTGCACACTGAGACGGGGCAAGGGAATGGAGGGTTACTTCCGGTTTTAGAAGGACAGATGCAGGAAAGTTTCTCTGTAAGGAGGGTGCATTGCTTTGCTGGGGCTGCCATAACAAAACGCCGCAGATGGGGAGGGGGTGTGGGGCGGGGGGGCAGCTTCAACAACGGAAATTTCTTTTCTCAAAGTTCTAGAGTCTGGAAGTCCAAGATCAAGGCATCAGAGGGTTTGGTTTCTTTGGCGGCCTCTCTCCTGACTGCCTTCTCACCATGTCCTTGCATGGTCTTCCCTCTGCACGCACATCACATTGTACATCCAAATTTCCTCTTCTCGGAAGGACACTAGGCAGACTGGACTATGGTCCACTCAAAGGCCTTGTGTTAACTCAGTCACCTCTTCAAAGGCCCCCTCTCCACATGCAGTCACATTCTAAGATACTGGGAGGGTGAGGCTTTGACATCAGAATGTGGGGGCGGGGGGGGGGGGACGGACACACTTCAGCCCATAACAGAGGTCAAGGAATTTTTTTTCTTTTTATATGCAATTGACAGCATTATTAATGCGGAAAGGGGTCACAGAGAAAGAGAGGACGATTGATAGAGGAAACACGCTGAGGCTGGGGAAGGGCTAGGATGCAGAGCCTGGGGGGAAGGGAGCCCTGGGCAGGGGGAAGGAGGCTTCCACCCCAATCAGTGGGGGAGGCAAGAGGGCGGAGCAGGTGCAGTCATAACTCACATCGTCACACGACAGAGGAAACCAGTGCCCGGGAGCTTAAACTGGAACCATTTTATGGACAGTTGGCCATATATATCAAAAACTTAAAAAAATTGCATGTGAATTGACCTAAAAATTCTACTTCAGGGAATCTATCTCAGGGAAATAATTAGAGATGTGCCCCAGGATGACTAGACAGACAGAACCGCAGTGTTGTTTCTAATTTTTAAAGGGCAGAAAACGTCAATAGCCAAACATGGAGGACTAGCTAAGCAAACTGGTATATGTTCTTAAAACGGAGCCCACATGTTAGTAGGACCTGAGCACGCTGACTGTGTGTGTGATGGTGGGACGCTGCAGCCTTAAATGAGAAGAGGAAATTACACAAAGAATGACCAAGCTTTCTTTAAAAGGTGGCAGATATATATAAGAGAGAAACGAGAGTCCATGTGTGGGAGGCAAAGGTTAATGTGGTGGTCTCTGGCTGGGGGAATTTAGGAAGCTAATTTCTTTTTGCTTACCTATAGTTTCTAATTTTTGCCACAGTGAACATATTATTTAAGCAAGGCAGGGTGGAAAGCAATAAAAAATTTTTTTTAATGTACCACCTGGGTTTCTTTTCAGGCCTATTTTCCACAAAGAAATCAATTTTTTTATTACCTCCTAAGAGCTGTTGTGTAAATGATGCTGGCAGGTTGAAAATAACAAAGGCGACATGAACCTGCTCCCTGCAGGCTGAGGTGCCGGTGCTGCACCCCCCTGGGGCCTAAGACAGCACCCAGCACACAGTAGGCCCGCAAATAAGCGGTTAAGGGGAAAATGGCTGGAGGAGATACTTGGGGGGCAGGTAGGGTTGCTAGGCTTCCCCCGAAGTGAGACAAACTGTCGCACAGCTGCCTCCATATGAGATGTCAAATCATGCCTCGGTAAAAATTTTTTAAATGTCCACAAGCCATGATCCCTGATGTGGGTCCAGACTTGTAAAAATTTAGAATATTCTCTCTATAAAGCTGTTGAGCCTGTGAGAATGTGGATTCCAACTCCCCGCCCACTGTTCAGGCTGCAGATCAACCTGAACTTCAGCCACATCTGAGGGGAGGCATTTGCTTTCCAGAAAGCCTTTGGGGCCGAAAACCTTTGGTATCGATGATACATCTTCCTCAGAAATGTTCTGTCCTTTTTTTTTAAGCATATTGTCATGACCACTATATCCTGAAGGTATCACTTAGATGTCATGAAATAACAGCCTTTTAAATTCATGTTATGGGCTGGTCTGGCTATTTAATCTCGTTCTCAGATGTAAATGTTCCCAATGCTGTGGAGAGGAAGACAATGGGAGAATATTATTAAAACAGGGCATGAGTCTGATGTCTTTTATCTGCCAGAGACAAGCCAAGATTGGAGATATTTATTGGTTCAGTACTTTGGCAACATGGTATTAATTGTCTTTGAGTGTTTTGATAGGTAGTTAGCGCAAGGGTATTAATGAAAACAGCCCCACTTCATTTTAAAATTAACTACTTGGCCATTGAGCAACAGGAGCTGATAAATGATGGCAATAAATTTGTGATGGAGATTTATGCCCTCGTAACTCAGAGCGGGGCCGTGGGCATGCTCAGATGGGGTGGGGAGATAAGAAATACCAAAAAGTAGCTTCATCCGAGAGAGCATTTCCCCCAAATTGTTGCTGAGCTCATTAGCATTAACCTACTACTGGGCTGTCACGGGTCAGTGGATACTTGGCCTCCCAGATGCAGGGGGGCAGGTCCCAGGTCATCCTGCTGGACAAGAGGCTTCCTGCTCTGCGAGGAGGCGTTTCCTGGGTGCGTGTCCTGACTCTGCCCACATCCTCCTGATAGGTGGGTGAAAGAGCCTTCATCCACCTGCGCTCCTGAAAAGCAGTTCCTCCCAGGCTGGCCGGGCTGGCACAGCGCTACTTCCTCAGAGCCGCCCCGTTGCCGGGACAATGGGAGACCCAGATGGACATAGCGAGGCAGGAAGGAAATATTTCTTGCACGAGTGTTGTCAGGCTATGGGCTAGGTACCTAATTTACATAATTCCCTTTAATCTGTACAACAATCTTAAGAGGTAGCTCTGATTAATCTATTATTAACTGTTTTAGAGAGGAAGAAGTTGAAACTCATAAAACTGAAGTGACTTGCCCGGGGCTTGTGCACTGTGCTTACCTAGAGACCAGGTGGCTGGGAGAACATGGGTTTTGAAATCACAGAATCCAAGTTTGAATCC